CCAGCACACAGACTTTTCCCAAACAGGCGCCCACACGGCCATGCTCTCAGCACACACTCTCACACACTTTTGCTCACACCCTCCATGCAGCACCGTGGAGAGCTCCTCCCGCTCGCTGCTCCCTGAGCTGGGTGCCAAGAGGGGAGGATCAGTGAGAAGGATGGGGGCCAGGACCCAGAAGCCGGATGGAGTGCTTGGGACCCTGCCACGCCTCTCAGGGTTGATGGTGGAGGCATTTATTTTTGGACTGAAAAAGGGACTGGACCCTAAAGAGCCCCCTGTCCCATCTCCTCCCTGGAAGCCCTCAGCCAGACCAGCGTGCCGTGGGCATGCCCAGTCCAAAGGAGTCCAGACGAGTCTAATTCAGTTTCCAAAGTCAACTCGACTGACAATTTATTTAGGCCAATTGGCCATCCCGCCTGCTCTGCATCACTGACTCCGCATGGATTAACTCAAACGCTGCACGCCCCCACTGGGCAGATTTAATTAGGCGGAAAAACTGACCTGAAGCCTCTGGGGTCCTGGGGCCTGGACACCAGCCAGGGCTCCCCTAATTAGCCCCACTGCCTGCAACCTTGCTGGGTCTCAGAATCCTCAGAAGGGACCAGCTCCAACCCTCACTGTACCGATGATGAAGCTGAGGCCCAGAGAGGGGAAGTGACTTGCCAAGGTCACACAGCGAGTAAGCGGCCAGACCAGAATGTCGGTCCCTGCACCACGTTACAACCATCGCCTTGTTCCTGGAACGCCAAACTGCAAGAACAGATCCGCACGGCAAACCGCTGAACGGTTCCAAAAGGCAAGCACAATTTTCTACAGATGACTGTGGCATAAATGATTTATAAATGAAAGTCATAGCACATATTGGTCATTTTAATAGATAGTAAATTGTCTTCCTGATTTATGGTTTCAGGGGTGGGGTTACGATAAAAATAACTTGGTGATTTATAAAATATTCTTCCTAAGTCAACAGATCGTTAGTAGGTTTGTCTGACTTTACAGCCAACAGCCTCACCACCCTGGTTACCATAGAAATGGGATGCCTTGCTCTGTTGCCATGGCTACCATTTTCTAGAACACAATTGGTGGGTCTCTCACAGTTTGTGATTTGGTTCTGGGGGAAAAAAGCCAGAAACTACCAGCTTGGGTTTATGCTGCATTGTCAGGCGATCTTGCCTGTGTTGTCTTGAAATTTCACAGGGTGGTCACTGAGGTGGCCAGGCTGGGTGACAGGTGCTCCTGGGCTGCTGGGCAAAGCTCCCTTTGTGCCCCTCATCAAACTAGCTGCCCAGGAGGGACTGGCCTCACAGCTGGCTTAGATTCTAGTGTACGGGGCATAGTCACTGCAGAGGGGCCTGGGGACAGGAGGCATGGTCTGGCGGGTGGCAGGAAATCAGGAAACGTATGCATGGTGGGCAGGCCCTGGGGACGGGAAATCCAGACGCTGGCGCTGTCTCAGCAGGGAGGCAGGCAGAGGAGGCAGAGGCGAGGCGGGCTGGAGCTGCCATCCTGTGGGAGAGACAGACACTGAGTCAGTCACACCCAGTGGGGGCGAGGTGGGCAGAGGAGGGGCCGGCCGGGTGGCAGTGCCTGGGGTCTGTGCTATTCGTGGTGGAGATGCTGTGTGGTGACCACTGCTGCACCATCCGTGTGCTCTGAGATGTATGCGCCGGTGCCCTGTGGGGCTGCGGGGCTGTGCGCCTGGCCGTGCAGCACCTGGGTGTTTATGCCTGGTGGCGGTGACGTGCTACAGGACGCTCCAGGTGCCCCTGTGTTCTCTATGTATGTGTGTTGGGGACACCGTGCTGTAGTTTGTGTGGCCACGTGCACAGTGTATGTGGTTAGGGAATGGGCTAGGTGTGTCTCTGGGTAGTTGTGTGTGTCTGTGGGTGACTGGTCTGTGGGTGACTGTCCCGTGTCCTCTGGGTTACTGGGGATTGGGGGGTAGACAGCTCACATGGAGCTCCCTGCTCTTGCCAGCAGCCCCTACTGGGGGTGACAGCCCAGGGTTACTGCAGAGGGGCTCCCAAGGCTTGCTGCCCTGGGCCTGCCCAGCCGAGGTTCCCTTCCTGCCAGGGGTCAGCAGATCCCAGGAACTTCCCCTCCCCATCACAGACCCCCTCCCTCTGGCTGGGTCCTTGAACAAGTTAAGGTTATCTCTCAGCCTGCCGTCTCTAGATCTGAGAGGAGGTGGGCCAGGTGGGGATGCAGGCTAGCCCACCAAGGCTACAGTCCATTGATTCCCCGAGGAAGGCGGGGCAGTATCCATGTCCCCCGGGGCTGCTGCTGCCCCAGGTGCTAGTAAGTCCCAGCAGCGAGGCCCAAGAACGATCCAGGCTTGGCTGGGCTCCACCCTGTGGATCCGGGCACCCCGCTCTCTCCCTCTCTGGAGACAGCATAGCCTGCCCTCAGGCAGTCTGGGCTGTGGGTGCCAAGCTCCAAGATGGAGCCACAGACACAATCAGGGCCAGCTACCTGGTAGCTGATACTTTTAGCCCCAAGAGCTTAGGTAGGTCTGATGGTGGAGAGCTTGGCTTCCGGAGCTAGATACATTTGGGTCCAAGTCTCAGCTTCATCACTAGCCTTAAACCCTTGGTTTAGTCCCCTAACCTCTCTGTACCTGGGTTTCCTTTTTGGCACAATGGGGTACAACTACCTGGGAGGGAAGGGAAGAATGAATGAATGTATGATGTATGGAAGAGAGAGAGGGAGGGAAGGGAGGAAGGAACAAAGAAGGGAAGGAAGGGAGAGAGGGAGGGAAGAAGGATGAATGAGTGTGTGGATGAGAGGGAGGGAGGGAGAGAAGACAGAAGGAAGGAAGGATGAGTGGATGGAAGGGAGGGAGAAAGGAAGGATGGATGATGGATGGGAAAAAGAAAGGAAGCATAGGTGGATGGAAGGAAGGATGCATAGGGATCACACTTGAGAGTAGTCTAGGATAAAAGTTTTGAAAATTACACAGTGCTCTCAAACCTACAGGACTGTTAGCTACCATCGTGATTGGCTTGGGCAGATCTCCTGTTTCTGGGCCTCAGGCTTCCCAGAGCCTCCATTCTGTAGCATGTAGTGTCTGGGGCCGGGTAATCCCTGAAGGCTACTCTTACACTGACATTCTGAAGTGCTGACTTTGTCCCGTCCCCCACTCCCCGCCCCTTCCCCCAGCCCAGAATGTGCCTTGGAAGGTCCATATTGGTTTCTAAATCCCTGCCAGGTTGGGGACCAGGTCCCATGGCCATGGTCAACCCAGACAGGGCTGTTCTGGGACTTCCAATGCTGCCCATCCCCTCACCAGGGGATGCAAACTAAAGAATTTGCCAGAAGCAGCATGGCTGCTTCCCACTGCAGATACAGGGGGAGACTTGGCATTCCTGGAAGTATTCTGTGGGGGCAGCTCTATAGACCAAAGGCGCCACCCATTCCAGACTGTAGCCCAGGGCTACCTCCAAGGGGCTGGCCCTGTTCTGGCCATGGTCTGTCATGGGAGAAAGGGGACCCAGAGGGGAGGGGAGCAGTGGGAACATGCAGGCGGGAATGACCAGCTAGGTCCCTGGAGGACAGCTGATTGACCGGGATTCCGTCTGCCCAGGGCGGTGCCCACGGAGGCCATGGTATGTTGGAGTTCCAGGGGGACCCAACTGGAGGCTGTAAGAAGAGTCCTTGCCTGGAATTCAGTCTGAGAAGGAGGGTTTGAAACTCAGACAGCTGCTTGCTTCTTTTTCCTCGGGTGCCAATGTCTGCTAGGGGCTAGAGAAGCCCATGGGGTCATCAGATGGGGCCATCAAACCAAGCTAAAGGGTCTCCTGAACCTTTCTCCAGGGGGCTCAGGGCCAGAGCAGGTGGTGTGGACAGGCTGGGTTATCCTGGCCGTTTCCGTCTCACTGATGGGGTCTGAGAGGAGCAGGTACCCACAGATGTCTGGAAAGCCCCAGCCCCCCAGCAGCTCCTCCTCCCTCCCACCCGCACCCCTCCCCTGGGGCTGGCAGGCAGCAGAAGGGGATAAGCAGACTCTGTTGTTTATGGTGACTTTGAGGACCCCCTGGTCCAATTCTCCTAATGCTCGAACCCTCAACACAGTATCTCTGATAAATGACCATTTAGCCTCTATTGAATACCTCCAAGGATGGGGAACTCACTTCAGGTTTGTGGTGTGAGTTCCTAGGAGGATAGAGAGAGGGGCTAAAAAAATGTCATATAAGACCTGGAGCAGATACACATCTTCTTCGGTTCTAGATAGGCTAGAAAGAGAGCCCACAAGTGGGGCACAGATCCGTGAGAAGGAGAACAAGTAGACTGGAGTAGGAAGGAAGACAGATGGAACATGAAGCCTTGGAGGGGCCTGAGCCCACCATGGCTGCCCACTCCCGTTTCTTTGCCAACTTCAGCCCCAGCAGGCCAGGTCACTTTGATTAGTCAGCATGGGCTAAGTGCTTTAATAAATCACCCCCAAACTGCAGTGCTTAACACAGCAGAAGGTTGTTTTCACTCAGGTGACAGTTCAGTGAGGGCATTTCGTGGATGTCTTTCTTCTTTAGGGACTCAGGCCCCTTCCTTCCGGTAGCTCTGCTGGCCCCAGGCCTTAGCATTTGACTGGCAGTCAGGAGAAGAAAGCGAGCGTGGGAGATTGAGTGGGAAGGTTTTATGAGTCAGCTTGGGCATTAGTGCGCACCCCTTCTGTGCACTGGCCACTGACCGCAGTCCCATGACCCCACCCAACCCCAGGGGAGGCTGGGAGATGTAGTCTAGCTGCAGATCCAGGAGGAAAGGTAAGGCCTCTGTGAAAACAAAGCAATCTGTCACAGCCCCTTCCTTCCCCAAGCCTCCTCACCCCGTGCCCTGAGGAGGGAAAGGTGGCCTGTCGGCTTGGCCCATGTTGGAGGGAGCATTGTGCAGGCGTCTTCCCCGGGCCTGGCCTCTGCCTGGACCCAGCACAAAGGCACCCCAGGTTTCTCGCTCTGGGTGGGAGGGCCTCCCCTCTGACACTGTGTGTTTCTCCCCCACAGTATGTGGCTTTTGCCTCCCTCTTCTTTATCCTGGTCTCCATCACCACCTTCTGCCTGGAGACCCACGAGCGCTTCAACCCCATCGTGAACAAGACGGAGATCGAGAATGTTCGGAATGGCACGCAAGTGCGTTACTACCGGGAAGCAGAGACGGAGGCCTTCCTCACCTACATCGAGGGCGTCTGCGTGGTCTGGTTCACCTTCGAGTTCCTCATGCGCGTGGTCTTCTGCCCCAACAAGGTAGAGTTCATCAAGAACTCACTCAACATCATTGACTTTGTGGCCATCCTCCCCTTCTACCTGGAGGTGGGCTTAAGCGGCCTGTCTTCCAAGGCTGCCAAGGACGTCCTGGGCTTCCTGCGCGTGGTCCGCTTCGTGCGTATCCTGCGCATCTTCAAGCTGACCCGCCATTTTGTGGGCCTGCGGGTCCTGGGCCACACTCTCCGCGCCAGCACCAATGAGTTCTTACTGCTTATCATCTTCCTGGCTCTGGGCGTCCTGATCTTCGCCACTATGATCTACTATGCTGAGAGGATAGGGGCACAGCCCAATGACCCCAGCGCCAGTGAGCACACCCACTTTAAGAACATCCCCATTGGCTTCTGGTGGGCCGTGGTCACCATGACAACGCTGGGCTATGGAGACATGTACCCACAGACGTGGTCCGGCATGTTGGTGGGAGCACTGTGTGCACTGGCGGGTGTGCTGACCATCGCCATGCCCGTGCCTGTCATCGTGAACAATTTCGGGATGTATTACTCCTTAGCCATGGCTAAGCAGAAACTACCAAAGAAAAAAAAGAAGCATATTCCACGGCCACCGCAGCTGGGATCTCCCAATTATTGTAAATCTGTCGTGAACTCTCCACACCACAGTACTCAGAGTGACACATGCCCGCTGGCCCAGGAAGAAATTTTAGAAATTAACAGAGCAGGTAGGAAACCTCTTAGAGGCATGTCGATCTGACCTTTCACCTCCGCCCCCTGTAGCGATGATTCCAGATTCAGTCAGACTGCTTCCTTAGTTCCGTGGGCGACCCTGGACCCCGCCCTCAATCTTGAGGTGTGGTGCCTGGGGGCCCAGGGAGATGCTGGGCAGCCAAATTCACATGGCGAGAGCCTGCTAGAGGAACCTCACTGGTGGCCCTGGGTAAGGAGGTTGACGTGCTGGTCTTGTGAGGTTCTGAAGAGATGACTCGGCCCTCAAGGTTGCTAAGGACTCTCTTAGCAGGAGCCTGGGGGGCTGCTCCTTGGTGGGCAGGAGTCAAGCGTGAGTCTCTGACTCAGGCCGCTGACCCAGTGTCGGGGCAGGATGGGGGTGAGTGTGATTTTGAAACGCCAGACAGCTTTTGCTTTGGTCTTTACACGGCTCCCTTCAGGCTGTGCGGACCGCACAAATGGTGCATGGGATCTGGCAGGAGGGTCCCTGCAAAGGCAGTAGCAAGGATTCTCACCCCCGACAGAGCCTGTCTCCATAGCTGAGTAGAACTCCTGCTCTGATTCCGGCTGCCTAGCTCCAGGTGTGTCCTGGGAGACGCCTCCAGCCCTCTGTAACAAGCTTACTTACCCCATAGCATGCCGAACCAACTCATCTTCTACCACCACTCTAGAGTTTAGCGTTTATCTTTAGGAACCTGTTGGAGTGACTCTAGCTTTCACGTTGTCTGTTTGGGTTGATGGTCGAGTGGGAGTTTCTGGTGGCCTTCTGATGGAAGCGGCTGGTGAGCCAAGGACTGGAGGGGGCCACCACCCCGGGCAGCTTAGACGAAAGCGCTGCAGACCAGCAGCCGCCTCCCACCAAGGGTTCTCCCCATTTCCGGCGGTAGGGACTGCGGCAGCAATACGTGACATCCCAACCAGTGGGCAACCACTTCCCGGTGCATTCGGTGGGCATCGGGGAACGGGGAGGGGGCCATGACACAATACTAGTCACCGTGGGATATATTCTAATATTCCATGGCTAGTGGTTCGTTCTGGGACTATCTCAGTTTTATGAGAACCTGCACATAGCACATAAAGTTGATCATGGGGCTCTGGTCCGAAGAATAAAGCCCACAGTCTACCTCTACCCATGGAATACCATCGACTTATTCTGTGGACACAGGGATTTCAAGGGAGTGAACGACCCAGAGGAGAATGGCAACACTGAGCTGAGAAGGAGTGCCGGCGTGAGGGAGGCAGAGTGAGTGACAGGTAGCATTTAGTCTGCGAAGGATGTCCCGGTGCCCACGTCTGGCTGGGGGGCTGCAGGCTAGCTCCGACTTAGAGGAGCAAGTTTCCCCCGTTTTGGGGGAAGATTGATTCCTCCCTGCTGACATGCTCTCTGGCCCGCCACCCCAATCCTGTTCCTGATCTGGCTTCATCCCACAGCTGTGCTGCCCAGGGCAGCACCCCCAAGGCTCACTTCTCTGCCCGTGGGGGCTTTCCAGCCGCTCACCAGGCCCCCTCCCCCTCCCCACTTCCTGGGATTCCTGTAGGCACCTGAGAGAAATGTGGTTAGTGTTCTGGGCTGGGCCGGGGGCAGGCAGGGGTCTCAGAGGCTAGAACAGGGGGCCTGAGGTGAGGCCAGGCTCCCCGGCCAAGGCATGGCTTCCTTTCAGTGAGTCAGGCATGGGCCGGTGGTAAGCTCCTGCCCCACCTCTCTGCTTTGCATTAGCTAGCTGTTTGACCTCAAGAGCCCCTCCATGGCAAGGAAAGTTCCTGAGGCTCTGGGGAGGATCTGGCCTGGCCTAGCCCCCAGCCCCACTCTCGGCCCAGCAGGAAGAGTTCAGCCGAATGGCACCACCATTGCACTACCTGACCCTTCTGTCACACCCTCCCCAATACTGGCTCTTTCAGGACTGGTGCCAAGCATGGGTGTCCCAGGTCAGCCTTCAAGGATCCCCAGTTCACTCCAGTCGGGCAGATTCCTCTGTTCTCCTAGACAATGCCAGTGTTCTCCACGTGCTGAGGGCGCACATACACATGCACACACACACACACACACAGTGCAGACATGTGTGTTCTGACATGCACACCAGCTAGTCCCAGGGACACAGCCCTCTTCCCATGCTGCAGCAGACCTGTAAGCCCATGCACTCTGTTGGACCCCATGGGCCCCACAGCCATGGCAGCCCTGCTCCTGGGAGCCTCCTTGCACTGGCCCCAGGTCTTGGGGACCCAGAGAGCTCTGGCTTGAGCAGTGTCTATGGCTGAGGAGGTATTTGAGGCCCTCCCAGGCTTGCCTTCTGGAACTGGGTGCCTGGACCCTCCTGCCTGTCTCCCCCATCCCCACGCTCGATCCCCATTCCCCTTCCCAAGTACTCACTTCCCCTGGTGGTGCTGTCCTGATGTCCAGACCTGTCTACCTTGGCTCTGAGACCCACTCTGAGCCTCATCCCTCGCCAGAACATTCCTCCCTCCGAAAGCTGGTGTGTGAGACCCACGTTATCTATCACCAAGAGGGGCTGTGGTCCTTAGGAGGTCTCCCCCCATCTCTGCGTCCCTGAGTCCCTCTCCATTTGCCTCCTTTTATGTTTGCAACTGTGCACCTAGATGGATGTGGGGCTGGGGGTGAGTTTGTGAGAGAGTTGACGGCGGGGAGGGGAGGCCGAGCTGAGGAAGGCAAATGTGAGCGGAGACCAGACCCCACAGGAGCTGAGAGAGGTGAGATGCAGCCCCCGCGCCTTTCCAGCCTTGCTCCACCCCCAGGGGCGGTCAAGTGGCCTCAGAGAAACCTGGGATCTCCAGTTCTACTTGTAGAAGCTGGGTTGGGGCCAAGTGTAGCATGCTGGGCTCTGAGGGCACTCCCCCAGGGCCAGCCCCTGGGACTCCAGCAAGGCCTCCGGGTCATGCCTGCAGCCCCTGCCCCTCACCTCCACCCTCTGGTCTCTCCTGAACTCTCAGGTCTGTGTGTCTGTGAGGGATGATCTGGTCTCCTCCTCTGTACCATGGCTGGCACGGCCTCAGTGTTTGGGGGATTTGTCCTGGGTGGGTGGGTTGTAGGGCCTCATGGGGGGATGCCAGGAGGGCACCTTGCGTGGTTAGGGACTGCCTGGGGTTCAGGGCCTGGGAGAAGCTGCTCCTCTCCCAGAATGGGGCTCAGCTACCTCCTCCATCTGCAGTCGGGGGCCCAGGCCGCCTGCTCCAGACAGCTTGGAGTGCTCCCTCTGTCCTGCCATGTCCATTCACGTCTGTCTTGTCCATCTCTGCTCCTGTGATATGGGTTGCTCCTCTGTGGTGCCACGTCCAGGGCTGCTGGGTCCCACCATAGGTGAGCAGGGGGCTGGCACAGGGGAGGGGTGGTGGACAGACCCCCTTCCTGCCCATGGCCTTGGAGGGCAGCAGTGAGGTCCCAGAGAAGCCCCTGCCTGGGCTCTCTGGGAGCTGCCACTGCAGCCTCTGGGTCCTATTTGTGGGGGGTGGAGGTTTCTCCCCTGAGCAGCCGAGTGCAAAGTGCCCCTGCCCGGGCCCTCTCCCACCTTTCCCCTGCTGAGCTGCAGGGGCTGCCAGGGTGGTGCTGGCCCATGGTGCAGGGAGGGTGACAGGACTGGGGCAGAGGTGACCAGGCAGGGTGTGGGCAGGGCCCCTCTGCTTGGATGCAGGGCCAGGGTGGGCAGCTGGGGCCCTGAGTGGGGTCCACGTGGCCCCAGTGGGCTAAGGGGAAGTAGCAGAGAGGTGGTCAGACTCTGAGGGCCAGGCTGGGTGTTCTTTCTGTGTTGTTCACATTCTCTCTCTGTCTCTCTCCACTAATCATGTCTCTCTCTCCTCGTTTTGTTGCATGACTTGTGCCTGTTCTCGTCACTGTCCTCTGCTGTGTCTTTCACAGACTGTCCCCAGTTAGCCTGGGACTTTTTTCCTGAGCCCCCAGCTGGGCAGACTCCTCAGGGCTAAACCCAAGGAAATGCCCAGCACCCCCTCCCCGCCCCAGCCCTGCATGCGCCCCCGGCGCCCGCCGCCGGTGTGAACAGTAAGTACATCGGCGGGGCCTGGAGACCAGGGCAGAAAAGCCAGCCCTGCTGGCTGAGGGCCCGGACACCGGGCTCTCCTTGCTCCAAAGTTTAAAAAAAAATGACCCTCTTGCGGACGCTCATCTATCTCAGCCCATTTCAAAGCCTGGAAACCATCTCTGTGAGACGCTGCCCATGCTGCCATTTCATCATTGCAGGCCTGCGGGTCTAGCTGGGCTGAGGGGCCCTGGATGAGGGGAAGCAGGGTTCCCAGCCTTCTGGGGAGCCGGCGGGAAGTGAGGCTCCTAGTAGCCACCTCATCCAAAGGATGGGGGGAGGAGAAAGGGAGTCTCGGGTGAGCTGGCACCTCTGGCCTTTTTCACGGGTTCCCCAGGTTTGGAGAGTTGGCTCCTCCTTGGTTTCTCTTTCTTCTAGCCACCTCTCTAGAGTTGGTGGGGGGAAGGCTCCCAGTTTCTGAGAGCACCCCAAACCGCAGATAAACGAACAGCCCAGGGAGGCTGGCTCCTTCACAGAGGGAGACCTAACCACTCCCACCTGGTCATAGACTCTCCTCAAAGGTCATGGTTGAGAGAAGTGGCAGGTGCCAGGGGTGTCCTGGGAGTCCCTCCAGGGAGGGAAAAGTGCCCAGCTCACATCCCCCCAGGGACCCCTGATGGCCATCCCCTGTCCCTGGCCCCTGCAAGGAAAATGGGCCCCAATTTTGAGCCCTTTAAAGATTGCAGGAGCTGCATGCTGCAGGGCTATGGCACCGGGGGGCAGAGCCAGAGGAGGGGTCTCAGGCTCCACCACCCACCTCTGACCCATCCCTGGGCAAGAACTGCAGGCTGTAGATACCTCACTTATAGACGATGGCCAACAGAGAGACAGCAAGTCCTGGCTCCCATCCCGGATAGAGACGCTGCCTGTAGGACTCGCTGTCTTCCCCCTGAGGAATATTTGTGCAGGGTACCACAGGCCCTGACTTCCGCACCCTCGTCCACTTCCTCCTCCCGTATACTTTCCTCCCCTTCCCACAGCCGCCCTCCTCCCTCAGCCCAGAGACCCTTGGGAGGGAAGACAGGGGCCAGCCAGAGCAGGAGGCTGGACCAGGCCTGTCTGTGGGCACATGTGCTAGGCAGACCCTAGACCCCAGGGAGGCCCCAGCCCCATTCCCGTGCTGTCAGAGTTACCTTGGTAACTGGCCTTTCTGGTTCAGAGTAAATTGGGGAGTGAAGCCCCTGGGATTTGTCAAGAAACGCACTGTACGTGAAATGCTTTGCCATCTTTTTTTTTAAGTTCCAAAATTATGATGGGATTTTTTTGGATTTGCTTTACGAATAAACCTGATTGGTCCATTTCTCTTTTGACTGACTGCCTCTTTGTAGTGACATGATGTGTACACGGGCCGTGATCCAGCCCGCGGGCACGCTGAGTGTGCACGCGGAGAAGGATCACCTGTGCGTGTAGTTACATGATGTGAACAGGGTCACCGAAGAGGGTTACATCGGGCGGGACTGTCTCCAGCTTTTCTCCCCTCTGACGTCTTTGAGAGAGCCTCCCTTCTGTGGCCACGCCCATGTTGGTGTCGTCTTCCCTGCAGGCTCTCCTTCTAGATGGAGCCTTCAAGGAAGCCACGGTGCCCACCGTGGGGACTGAGTTGGCTCCACCCTGGCCAGGAAGATTCTGCTTTGAGGGCAGAGAGCGTGGGGCAGGCTCAGTCTTCAAGAGTGATGGAGGCGGGCAGAGGCCAGGCAGAGCTACCTCTGCCAGCTCCAGAGGCTTCCATGGTGCTGCTCCTGGACTTGGGAGAGGGCCAGCTCCCTGCTCTGGCCACACTTTGCCCCCTCCAAATGTGCCCCACACCTCCTGTCAGGTTCCCTCTCAGGCTACCACAGAGGCCAAGACTCGTCTTCCCACCCGAGTCCATCAGCCGCTGTCGTCTTTACACATCCATTTGCTCTGCTTTGCCGGGGACGCTGCCGAGATGAAACAGAGGATGGGAGCCCCTCCCAAGTCATGACTGCTCTCACTGCCTCATGCCTACATCCCTGTTGTGCCTGTGCAAGCTGCCCAGGCCTGCTCGGGGCAGAGCGGGGTGGAAGACGCTAGCTTGATCCGTATGGGGATCAGAGTGGACTGAGTGACCAGCTTAAGTCTGAGTGGGGGATGGAGCAGACTGCATGGTCAAATTGGCTCTAGGGGACAGAGGAGACTGTGTGCCCAGGCCTAGTGTGCATGGGGGACAGGGCATACAGAGTGACCAGGTTGAGTCTGTATGGGCACAGAGGAGACTGTGGGCCCAGGCCTAGTGTGCATGGGGGACAGGGCATACAAGGTGACCAGGTTGAGTCTGTATGGGCACAGAGGAGACTGTGGGCCCAGGCCTAGTGTGAATGGGGGACAGGGCATACAGAGTGACCAGGTTGAGTCTATACGGGGATAGAGCAGATTGTGTGACCAGGCCTAGTCTGCATGGGGAATGGAGCATATAGAATGACCAGGTTGAGTCTGTATGGGGGAGGGGCTGAGTGATCAGATAGTGTGTGTGGGGGTGACCAGCATGAAGTGAGTGACCAGCTGAGATCCAAATGGAGGATGGAGTAGTGTTGACTGTTGGGATCCGGGGTGGGGAGGCTAGGGAAGCCTGAGCAACTGGTTGGATGTGGATGGGAGGCAGCCAGGCTCAGGTAGGCAGCAGAGGGGTCCGGAAAGGCTGCCTCTCTGGACGAGAGTGTTTCTGCGTGTCTGTCTGTCTTCTCCCTGAGCTCTGTGTCTGGCCCTCTACCCATAACTGCATCCACACCATCCTGTCTCATTGGCCCCGCCTTGGGCCCTGGGCTCGGCCTCCAGCACCACGCTTGCTGGGCCCATCACCAACTCATCTTTTTGCAAACTTTGAGCAAACCCAGGAGCCCCTCCTTCCCAGCACTGTGGGCAGCCCACAGGCTGCCTGAATGAGCCGGGGACTCCCAGCCTCATGCCTCCCTCCATGGCCCCCTTGCCCTTCCGTCCTCAGTGATGGGCTGCCCTTTGTCAATGCCCCACCTCTGGCCTGTCCCCCCGACTAAACAGTTTTGAGTGTCTCAATAGCTTCTGCTTATATGTTTGAAGATTCCAAACTGAATGGGGAGGTGGCGAAGGCCGCGCTGGCGAACGAAGACTGCCCCCACATAGACCAGGCCCTCACTCCCGATGAGGGCCTGCCCTTTACGCGCTCGGGCACCCGCGAGAGATACGGACCCTGCTTCCTCTTATCAACCGGGGAGTACGCGTGCCCGCCTGGTGGAGGAATGAGAAAGGGTATGTAGAGGAGGCTGGGGCGCTCTGCATCAGCCGGGCTGCCTCGCGCTCCTGCAGATGGGTGGGCGGGGTGGCGGGCGAGGGGCGCTGAGGGGCAGGCAGGCACACTGAGGGGGGGCAGGGAGCAGAAGGAGCCCCCAGGGTCAGCCCCTGGAGTCCCTTTCTCCCAAGCAGGATGTTGGGCTGGCAGAGAGGACCTGAGGTCCAGGCAGCTGTGGGTTGGTACCGAGCTAACGGTAGGAAGGGGCTTGGGGACAGGCTGGCTAACTACAGGCTGTGATCCTAAGGCAGGGGGGTATCCAGGGATGCAGGAGGAGCCTCGAGTCCTCCAGGCCGCTCTGGCACATGGCAGGTCAGACCCAGAAGGCAAAGTGATCTCCCCTGTCCCTTGGTTGAGGAAGGATACAGGGTGGGCCTTGCCTGGCCAGGATGCTGTGGGCTTAGCCACCTGAGATCCATGTTCCGGAAGAAGCCTCCTTTAAAGAGAATCCACAGAACAATGATAGGAGAGGCATGAGGAGAGAGGTGGCTTCAGGGCTTGGGGGTGAGGCCAGTGTCCTTGCAGAGGTAAGGTGCGTGCCAATCAGAATGCTGCTAGTGGCAGATAGAGAACTTGCCATGAGAAGGTGGTTCTGCAGGACTCTGCAGCCCCTTCCTTCCCCAGCCCCCATTAGCCACAGCCCCGGGTGTGGTTAGCCCCCCCTGGAGGTTCGTGAAGGCTGAGCCCCGTGTTCTGTTCAAGGTCTCCTTGTATCAGACCCTTATCTTAGGCTGACTCCTGGGGAAAAAGCTTCTACTAGAGCTTGAGCATGGGCTGGAGAGAGGCTTGGGCAGGTCCCAGAGCACCTGAGCTCAAGGCTTCAGGCATTGGCCTGGGCCTGGAAGGCGGAGAAAGCTGGGCAGCTTGTGCATGTCTGGAGCGCCTCACATGCTCACATGGGATGCATGCTGACCAGGGTGAGCACGTTGGGCCAGAGGGATAGTTGGTTTTAAAGAGCAACAGTTGGTGTAGCCTGTGGCCATTCACAGCTGCTCCAGTTATTTGAAGTGATTCAACAATACACAAGGAGAAAACACAGAATTCAAAATAAAGGGCAAACCCAGAAGAGGAGAGGCAGCCTACACTGGGATGGGGGAAGTCCTTCTGGTCACTGGTGCTTGTTGTGCCCACCTGATCCAGGCTGGTCCCTGCTTCCTTGCCCTGCCTGGAGGTCCCTTGGACCCCAGCGTGGCATACCGCTGCCCGCATGGTGCTGCATGGCGGAGGGCTGCCAGCCTGGTGGCAGGCCCCATCCTTGGCACCCTTCCATGGATAGACCTGATGCTCCCCTTCACAACTGGCTTTTTCCCCGGTGGAGGTTCTAGATGCTAGGAGCAGGGGCAGCCAGGGGGGTGAGGGGGAAAGCTGGCAGAGTGTTCCCAACGGCTGTGCTCTGCCCGGTGAGGTCTCATGGGCTGCCTGTCTCCTTCATCTTGAATGTTGGATCAAGCTGTTTGGCCTAAAAGAGCAGACGGGAGAGTCTCTTTATTGCGCTTCTAGAAGCCCAGGGAGTGTGGGACAGAAGAAGCCCGTAGTGGCCAGGGAACCCAGCAGCAACCACTGTGCACAGGTGGTACCCATACCCCAATCCCACAGAGGCGTGGGTGCCAGAGTCTTTGGGAGGCGCGAAGGGTGAAGTGCCCCCACCCACATCCACCCGGCCCCGCTCTCATGGAGTCATGACAGGCGCCGAGGACTTGCGTTTCTCAGGAGGATTGCAGGCCATAAGCCATGTGCAGAGTAGGACAAGAGTTAGGGACTCCACCTGTCCCCCCAGGAGGGAGAAAGAGGCGTGCTAGGCTGGCTCACTGCATGGGAACACCAAGCCAGCTGGAGAAGAATCTGCCTGCCTCTGCATGTGGCTGTTCTGTCTTTCCTCCTCTTTCCTTAAAAACTAAGTACCAAGCGGGATGGGAAAGCCAAGAAGAGAAGCTCAAGTGTTAATTGTATTCTTTACATACAGATCTTTGCAAAGAAAGCCCTGTCATTGCTAAGTATATGCCGACAGAGGCTGTGAGAGTGACTTGACCAGGCGGCTTGGCCCAGGACACTGGTGGCTATTAAGCATCTGGGTGGACCTGCAGCCCCTCCTCACCCTCGGACAGAGTAAATTCACGCCATGCAGGTTTGCCGGACGAGTCCGAGTGGCCCAGGCATTGTACTAGGACGGACGTAGCTTTTCCTACGGCCAAATGGTAACCGACCGTAGAGGATTTCTTTTCCTTCTTTTCATTTTTTAAAGTTTTATTTTATTTGGGGAGGGGGGTGGAGGGGTTCCTTAGCATGACTTGCATGAAGTTAAACAGAAAACCCAGCCAACCAAACCCACCACCCCCCTGCAACTGTATGATTACCCTAAACAACAACGAAAAGAAAAAAGCAAAAGTCCTTTATTTTCTTTCAAAGCTCTTTACTTTTACACACGTTGTTGGAGCCAAACTGTACCAGCGTTCAGTAGAAACCTGTACCTTTCGGGGGAGGGGGATGGGAGGAGGGCTGGGCACGGGACGAATTGCTTCCCTTTTTGTACATGGGATCCAGAGTAAAGGTTCCAACAAGGGCAGTCGGTCAGTCATCGGTCATATTGACCTCACCTTCATAGTTCATCTCTCACGCGGAAACTGAGAACTCTGCTGCAAATAGAATCGTGGAAACCCGCCCTGCTGCCTTCTTCCCTCTGTCTGGCATGCTTGTGACCCAGCGGACGTCACCCCAAGACCCCTGACAGCGGCTAGTCTAGGTTGATTCTGTCATCTTCTCGGTGTGTAGATGCAGTGCAACCAACTTTCACAACAAATTGTTCATAATAATTAGTCAACACTGTACAGATTTTCCAGTGTTACTTTCGAGCACCAAAAGATCAGGACCGGGGAGGGGTGGCCCTCCCCCACCTTTTTAAGGCACAACCTGGCATTGTGTGCAATTTAGTACTTCAGAGTAAAAAACTGCATGCCCAATGTTATGCAAAGCGATCCCAGCATGAAATACCTCTTGTCTCATGGTTTCTGTACAGTCTAAAGCAGATTTGTTTTCCGGAAGCAATTGGAGGTTTGCAGAAACACACTTCTGCATCTCGAATACATGTAGTATTTTCCCAACGGAAACAGAGGACAGTAGCTTGGCTTTGGTCTGATTCTAAAATTAGTGGTGGGGGGGGGTGGGGAAGGATATTTTTGAAAAACACATGCTTGAGTTGAAAAAAAATGCAACATCTTGAGCTTTTGCTGCAGCTCGCAACATTTCCTGGAAAGAGAGCAATGCTGCTTTCGCTCGACACCCTCCCCTCCCCGGGCCCTCAATAATAAAAAGCTGACTTTTGAGATGAAGCGTGGATTTGGGTTTTTATTGCCTCAGGCAGTGTTGCAATTCGGTTCTGGCCTCTGGTCAGGCCTGCTGCGCCCCGGGTGGGGAGCCTGAGCCCTGGCTCTCTGGTCTCAAGGACTGCCCCCAAGGAGCCAGCTGTCCTAGCACCAGGGGGAAGCCAGGCCCTCAGGAAGAAGCTGTCCTCTGGATAACCCCCTGCAGATCCTGTTGGTGGGGGGAGAAGGCAGCTCTCAGAAGAGAGAGTGCATACGATGAACACATCCTCTAGAGGGTTGACCAACATGGAAACTTCTCAGTGAATCACGCCAAATTCATAGCTCCTTGAATCTGGCCATGTCAGAGCTCCTAGCCTCCCCGTGCAGACGATGGTCACCTCCCTCCTAGAGCCATTCTTGAATCTGATGGCAGAGGTCTGCCTGACAGGTCTGGGTAGCCTACCCAGCTGCACCCTTGCTAGACCTAGTCTGTTCGACCCCCCTCATCCCACACCCTTTCCTCAGCCTGGGGGCATCTTGGAAGGGATGAAGACCTGTCCTAGGGATCTTGATTTGCTTGGGTTGTTCACTTGGTTTGGGTTGGGAGTAGAGTGAGGGATTGGGGTTCCAATTCTTTTCCAGGAGAGAGAGAGAATCCAGAAATATTCAGGTGGAAAAGTCCCTAGTGGTCATGGCAGTCAATCTCTTAATGGTCTCGGTGGTCAACCTCTGAGCATTTTACAGATGAGGAACGGAGGCCCACAGAGGGGAGTGCTCTGCCCAGGGCCACAAACACGTTGTGTCAGTCTCCCCTTGATTTCAGTTCCCTTGACACCTCCCAGCATGACCTGAGTCAACAATCATATGGGTGGGTGGGGGACTGAGGGTGGGTGCTGAATTCTCATCTAACAGTTTCTCATCCCCTCTAAGCATTTGCCTCAATGTCCCGGTTCCCTGTGTGGTCCAGAAACCAGTGGGTGGGATCAGTGGAGCCGTGGGTATGGTAAGGCCTCTGCCCAGGGGTGATGTAGCCAAAGGGCTGTTACACAACAGCCATGCCTGGATATCAGGATGGAGAAGCCAAGCAGCCTCAGCTGCTGCAAGCGGGTATCTTCCCTCCACCTGGATCCGCCCTGGAAGAAATGCCTCTAGTGGACTCAAGTTGGACTCAACACAAAGCCATTTGGAACATGGGTTTCCAGGGACACAGTAACCAATGGTGAAAGAGGATTAACATGCACTGAGCATCTGCCATGTGCAAGGCATCTGAGAAAAGTTCTCTCCTGATGCCCACACTAATTCAACATGCTCATTTTAGAGGCAAGAGAACAAGGCATGGAGAGGTACAGTAACTGGCCCAAAGCCGCACAGCCAATGAGAGACGAAGCCAAGATTTTAACCCAGGTGGTCTGACTCCAGAGCTCAGCTTAAGTCATCTCAAGGCCTTCATGGGGCTGGCGGTGGAATCGACAGGAACACTAGAGTTGCTGGTCCTGGATCCCAGGACCCTCAGGACCTGGCCTCCTGCTTGCCTTCATGAAGTGCCACGGCTGTAACAGAAGGGCCATTTCACATGCTGCTCTGAGGCTTCCACACACACGTCTGACCCCTCACTCTCCTGCTCAGACACCTGCTGCCCTGAGAAGGGGGCTGAGGCTGCTGACATCGGCTGGCACGGCCACAGCCTCTCCTCTCCCAGCTCTGGGCCCTCTCTGGGCTCCGGCCCTCTGAAATTCTGAACTTGCAGCGGTGACGCACATGCACCTCAGGATCTGGAACCCCCTCCCTCTAACACCCCCACCATTTCCCCACTAACTTACTAACTCCCAATTTCAATTTATCACTAAGTCACTTCACTCAGCCGTGGCAGCTGCCTGGGGGCATGGCAGCGGGCTTCCTCTGAGTCCTAGGCCTGGATTCACTGTTCCCAAGCACAGGTTCATCCGGCTGTGGTCTGAGGGCCCACCACGACCAAAGGTGGTGGGGCGTGAAGGAAAGAAGGGGGGCCTACGGTGAGGAGGGGAGCACGTGCGGGGCAGCCGGGATGTAAACATCCCACTAACACCTGGCACGTGCATCAACAATCACTCCAGGAGCCAGGCCCAAGACCTGTGAGCACACAGCAGGGTCCTGCTCCCCTCTTCGTTTTCCTTTCCTCCTCATAAGGGAAGAATGTGAAGCCCAATTTACTTGGTTCATCAGAAAAAAAATTTTAAAAAACAAATGGGTATTTCTCAGGTTGGCTCCTATGGCTCATTAGCTAACTAGGTGGATAATATCGACATTAATTGACCGTCAGATGGTTACGACGTCCACAGCATAGTTATCAAACATTTGCAAGAGATAAAAGCAGACGAGGGGTAGGGGTGTGGGATCATAGAGCCCACCCATTTAACCTCCCACCCCACGGTGACCCCAAGGGTATAGTGACTGGTTCATTCATGAACATTTACTGGGCACTTCCTCTGTACCAGGACCCGACCTTGGGGAGGGGTTCCAGGTCGACCCAGCCCCGGTCCTTTGCTCTCAAAGAGCTCAGGGTCTATTAGGAATGAGGGGTTTGGACATCCATGAGTCTGAGAAAGACCAGTAGGGACCAAAGTGTTCTGAAGGAAACCTGGGAGGCGCAGTCAACAGCCCCTCACCTCCTGGAGCTTTGGGGCCCTCATCAGATGCAGCCAGTGAACTGACTTGGAGAAAGCCTGTCTGCTGCTGTCTGGAGGGCGACGCAGAGGAACTTGGGGTGAAGGGACGGGCTGTGGTGTCTGCTAGTGCCAGAGCCATTCGGTCTTCCACGTGTGGATTATCTGTGCCCTGCACACTTCCAAAAAGGGTCTGTCTCCGGGTCTGAGTTGAGCTCTGAGGCTCAGGGCTGAGGCGCCGCCGAGCCTGGTTCAGGCTGGGAAGGAGCCCTGAGACATGCCTTCCTGTGCCCGCAGGCAGGCCTCTCGAGAGGCACCAGGCTGAGCAGCAGAGGACTTGGGACTTGGATTTCTGCCAGCAGGTGCTGAAAGAGGTCGGGGGGATTCGGCACTGCCACGCTGGGAGCGAGCATGTTGGTTCCTCGTGAGGAGAAAGCCTGTCTAGGAGGGCCGAGCACTAGCTGTGTGGGACTGCTTTCTGGGCTGAGTGGCTGATGCAGACCACTCGGCCTGGAGGATGGTGGGTGGTGGCCAGTAATGGGCCTGCTGCAGCTTGAGTCGTCTCTGGGCCATCCAATCCACTGCTGCATCTCTGAGGGCTTGGTAACTTGGAAGACCAGCTCAGAGTGCACGGAGACGTCCTTCCCCATGTTCCAGAGGTGCGTGGAGGCTGCACTGGCCTCCCCTGGTTCTGGGAGGCAGGAGGCCAAGGGATCTGCTGGCCGGGGCAGCAGTGTTTCTAGGCTGCAATATTAGGAGCAGGACTCCATGCGCTGGCGTTCAAGGTCGGGTGACAGCTCTGGGAGGTTCCTAGGTTCAGGCCTGGGGAGCTCAGGATTATCCTCGTCCCAACTCTCCTGAGCTGGACCTGCCCCTGGGCATACCCCTTATGCCCCTTCCTTGTCTGGCTCAAGGCCCTGGATGGGTCACCTGCTGGGTCAGGAGTGAGGAGTATGGCCTTGAGATGGTCCCATCCCATTTCTAGGCCTCCATTTTCCCAAATGCACAATGAAATATTGGATAAGATCGTGGTTTTTAAACTTTCTCCAGGACCCTATGTCCAATGAAATCTTCTGTGAAGCCCAATATATAACATAGGTTAAAATAAAGCTGCTGTGAATAAGGTGGAGGGTGGGGAACTCGGCCTTCCTATACCCACAGCCCCAGGTGGCCAGTGAGTTCTCAGAAGACTTCTGGGCTCTACCGAATGCAGTTAGAAGGCCACTGGGCTAGATGGTCATTTCAGGTGCTCCAGCTTTGATGTCCGGGGGTTTTGTAACTTCCTAAAGCCACTGGAGCCCAGCCCTCACAGACCCAAACCCTCTCCTGAGTCACAAAGGCAGACCGTGTGGGATGGGCCGCAGACCTGGCTGGCTAGCTGGGGACATGGCCACACAGTCCCCCAGGGAGAGCTGCTCTCTCAGGCCCTCTGGCCAAAGGTCTGCTGCCAGTCACAGCAGAGAGAAAGGTGCTATGTCCCCCAGAGCCATAGCTGCCCCCCGCGGAAGCCTGGGGACCGGGGTCTGGGCTGGTCCTCACCTCACCTGAAGGCCCTC